TCCTCGTTGAAGAGCGAGGTATGGCTGCTGTCCCGGGGGCGGAGAATCCGGGTGATGATGTAGAGGAGGAGGCGCTTGTCCGGTGGGGCCGAGTGAATCGTCGGTGCGCCGCTGTGGCGGATGAGGTTGGTGATCCCAAGCTCTCGAATGACGACCGCCTCGTTGTTGAGGATCCAATCGTCGCCACCATAGGTTGCGATGTCGTCACCGCGGATGGGCAGCCCTGCGACCCGAGCAAAGGTAGGCAAATCAATCTCTATGTCGTAGAGATTGATGCTGCTGCGAATGGTGTCCCCGTCACGGCGGAGATTGGAGTAGAAAGCCCGGACGAAGGCGGGATTGAAGCTCGAGCGGCTCTTGGAGACGAATGGCCACAAACCCGACGCTTGGAGTTGGTTGTCGAGGTCGTGGTACCCTTTGTCTTGGGGAAACAACTCTGGGAGCATGCGAGGTGGAGAGATCGGGCGCTTGGCAAAGTGAGTGAGGAAGCGCGTTAGTTCTTCCTCCGACCCGAACTCAAGAAATGATCCGTCCAAATATGGGAACGGAGGAGGCGCGGAACTTGAGGGTTCGGCGGTGCTTTTCTTCTTGGAAGCCTTTGATGGACAATAAACCCACCAAATGATCCGGTTTACAAAGCGGATCGTAAGAACAAAATTAAGAACAAGAATTCGAGAATTGGATGTGTATCACTAGCTTGATTTAGCTTGAGTTCTCCGCTTTCGGGTCCCCTCTATTTATACATGAGCTCTAAACAATTAAGGTGAAGCATAACCGATGGAGTCTAGCCCGCCAATGGCGCGATCCCCTTTTCCCGGCTCCGTAACGGTCAATCAGCTACGTCTCCTTCTCCGGACTGACTCTGCCAGCTGCGCTTGGCCTGAGGTTAACTAGGCCCAGCTCCTTGGGCCGGCCCAGCTTGAGTATTTCACACGTTCTTGACCCGAAGTTGTTTAAATGGTTCATTTGGGCCGTCCTCTGGATATCGGCCCATCATAAGCCCCCCAACTCCTCAGTCCTCAGCTGGGCCAAGCGGAGAAGTGGGGAGTTTGCAAAGTCCACGTGGATGCTCCAGCGGGGATCCGGGCTGTTCCTTGGGTTCCGCACGACACTTGGGCACGATCTCCACAAATAAGTAATCATGGCCTGCCGATTCGCCTTCCTGTTGTCAGTTAAAAACCGCCGCTGGACGCCATCTCTTCCTTTCGCCTTCTTCACCACCGTTCGTCTACAACTCCGCTGCTCACCCGACTCGTTCTTCCTCCTGTCCAGGTCAGTTCCTTCTCTCGCCGCCATGATTGTCTCAGATTCCGATTTGGCTACCCCATCGTCCAATTCTCGCCAAGCCGGTCAATCGGCCTCTGACCGTAACCCCGACCACACTCCATCACCCCGGCCGTCGCCGTCGGCCGTGCCTGGCCACAAACGGCGTCGATTGAGGAAGCAATACCCTTCCTCAACTCCGGTAGATGAGGGCTCAAGGGTTAAATTGGACGAAAACATCATGGCGTTGTGCCATTGTCAAATTACTGACCGGGGGTTCGCCGATGCCACTGACATGGTTGGACCCTCCATCGAGGTCATGAGACCTACCAGCACTCAAACTGCTCTAGACGCACCGTCGGGGTTCTTCACGGTCCATCTGGCGTCTTTGAAGAAGGGGCTGCGCTTCCCACTCCACCCGTTGTTGATCGAATTCCTCAACGTGGTGGACCTTCTCCCGTGCAAACTGGTCCCCAACTCTCACCGGTACATCGCCGGCTACCTGGTCCGGTGCAAAGATGTAGGGGTGAAGCCGACCTTGGACCATTTCATATTCACCTTCAAACTGACCAAGGGCCATAAAGATTGGGCGTCCTATGCCAGTCTTTCCTAGAGGTCCAGTAAACTCTTTGCTAGTGATAAGAAGGGGTCAACCAAAGACTGGAAGCCTTTCTTTGTCTTCGTTTCGACGGGGCCCAAATCTCCTTTCACGGGTTCAGGGCGCCCTTCCTTCCGTCGCATCCCACGCCCCCCACCTGATGCCACCCTTTTGTCTATCACTCGCCAATTCTGCAATAAGGGAGTTATGAACATCAAAGAGGTGGTGACAGAGGAAACCCTTGCCGGGTTGGGGTTGGAGTTTGTCCAGGATGAGCTTCGCCACCAACCCGACCTACTGAGGGACATCCCCGGGGGGCATCAGCCTGACGAGCTGAAGGACATTCCTGAGGAAGGTCTTGACTGTGGTCCTTTTGGTAGGTGACCTTTTCTGTTGCCCAGATGTTTAGTTTATCTTTTCCCAAGGCTGACCATTTCCTTTGTTTCCAGTGGAATTACAAGATTTAGGAGAGGAGATGGACAGCGATCTCCTGCTCAGTCGCTTCACTGCAGGGAGGAAAAGGAAGAGAGAGACGAAGGGCCAGGGCAAACGTCCTTCATCCCACCACGAGGAGGGTCCTTCTCAAGCGCCGGCCGTAATTGTGGTGGAGGACCAAGAAGATGCTACCCAGGAACCGGGTACCATGGCTGGCCAATCCCCTCCACACCCCGTGATGCAGGGTGGCGAACTCGCCGGGTCGTCTCAGGGCATTGCCTTGGAGCGACCTCCATCACCACCCGCAGTGACCTACGAGGTGGCGACCGGGGGTCGCTCGACGAGGCTCTGCATCCCTCCCCTGCCCCAAAGCCTAGGGGACGTACAGCTGGAGACTCTTATCACTCTGCCTGCAGAAGACCAGGCTCGTATCTCGGCAGGCTCCGAGGACGACCTTGACAACATGGTCCTTT